TGAGGTCAGGAAGTAAAATCTCACTGAAACAACTGAACATGAGATTCGACTCCAGTTTGTGCATCTTATACCAAAGGATGTCACATTCATTGTTTGTTTGTTTGTTTGTTTTCTCTATTTTAGGCATTTATTAACACTGCAAAGGAGATCTACGAGAAGATCCAGGAAGGAGTTTTTGACATTAATAATGAGGTAACTTTTAGTACTCTGAATACTTTGTGGATTTTTTTTCTTTTTTAATGTACAAAGTTCACTTTCCCTAGAAGGCTGGACAGTAAAATATTTATCTGTTCCATTTGGATATAGAATTGTCTGCCATTGTGATAAAAATGGATTAAAGTAAGTGACCCTATCCATCCATGAAGCATCACAAAATAATATAAATCCCCAAAAGAGAAGAAAATCCACTTTCATCCACTTCTCCATATGGTGTCATCTGTTTTCAAAGATAATTTTCCACTATGTAAATGGGGGACCATGTTGATATGCCAGATGCACTCCATGAGCTGTCCAGTGTAGGGGAGGGATTGCTTTGAGAGTTACATAAAAGACTTTTGAAATGTTCCTGGTTTAGGTGGCTGGATTCTGTAGGGAATAAAAGATTAGCCATTTTGCCTATGCACATTACTGAAATTACAGATTATCAGGACCTGCCTCTTTGCTTGTTTAGGATGGGGGTTGGGAGGTGGAGCAGCGAGCACTTCTGTAATGCAAGAGGCTAGAAAGATCTGTAATGTCTCTCCTGAATTTTGCAATTATTGTGCTGTTGAAAATCTTGAGCAGTTAGGAGAGAGGTTCGTGGTGTAGGCAAAGCAGTGGTAGTAAACTGAAATCCTGGGACTGTATAGAAACCTTAGGGTTGTATAAGCTCTCAGTTAACACTTAGGTAAAAAGTCACACCACAAAGTTTAAATTTGACAGTGTGAAATGGTCAGTCCTTTCTGGTGCCTAAGGTTTTTTTGGTTGGTTGTTGGGGTTTTTTTGGTTATTGGGGTTTTTTGGGTTTTGGTTGGTTTGGGTTTTGTTTTTTTTTCAGTCCTGAGTGTCCCTAAATATCATTGCTGAGGTGCTTAGTGAAGCCACCCATGGAAATCTGCAGCACCACTCTGTTCTGTGAATAGGTGCATTCTCTGCCTGGGACTCCCAGTCTGACACTTCTCTTTAGCATTAATAGTCCTTGCAGAACTGTTCAAAGAGTAGTGAGAGGATTGACAGGACTCCATTAAATAGCTTCACCTCTTTCTCCTTAATATATTTCAACATGGGAAAATTTAGACTATTAAAAATACCGCTCTTACGACTTTAGAGAGGAAATGATGAGAAACTTCAGTGGTATGCGAAGTATTTGCATCAGGAAACTTGTAGCTAAATAAGACTTGAATAGTAATCATTCAAAGGCTAATTATCACTGGAAGATGTGTGTGTATAAAAATGGTGTTTTGGTGCAACACTTTTTAAATTCGGTTCAGTGGTGAAAATCTTGAGGTTTTCTTCAACATTTTTGCTAAAGAAAATGCACTCAGTAGTGCCATATAAATTGGACAGTAATCAGAGTGTCTGAAAAAGCACGCTCATTGTATCTGTCGAGTTTCATATAGTAGCTGACTGCTTTACTGTGCCTTATGGAGCTTTGATTGCAATATGCTGTCAAGAGCCAACAGTCCGTGCTATTTATTTGGCTTTATGCCAAGTCTGGCTCCTTGATTCCTCAAGAAGTTGCTATCAGCCCAGAGGGGGCAAAACCAATGAGCCATAGGGCATGCTTTTTATTAAAGAGGAGTCAAAGAGCGAAAAGAAACCACATCAGCTGCTGTCAATACTGAGCTAGTGCCAGAAACCCCAAGGCTACTACTGTTGCAGAACAACTGCCAAGCACTATAAATCTGAGATTTACTGTGACGCAAAGTTTCCTTAAGAGCTTAATTTCTGAAGCTACTGTATTACTTTTCTCCAAGTGCTGTATTTTTAGGTAAAATCCACTTGAGGGAGTGAGGGTTAAGATATAAGTGCGATTTTGATGAATGAAAGAGCTTCGCTGTGTGTGGGTTCTTGGCAAGTAGCCACGTCTTTCGGGATCATAGAAATTATTGATGACACAGAACACTCGTATGCCCTTAGCCTCTACAGCTGATTCAACACAGAAAGAAACGCTGTCTAGAGAGGAAAAGTTTTATATTAAACTATTAAGCTAATGGAGGTTTTGGTGAGAGGGGAGAGGTTATATGTTCTTAGCAAATGCTATGTATTTTTACAGCCTTATACCAAGTAGTATTCAAGTACAACTCTTGCTCTGTGTTTTTGTGTTAGGAGTTTAAGGTACAGAGTTTAACATAGAGATAAAATTTAAATGAGAAGGAAAGCATCTTCCTTTGAATTGTATTTAATTTCCAGGGACATGTTGCTAAAAATAGTAAATAATTTTTTGCTATATTTATTGCATACATTAGGAGAACTTGCTAAATTATTGTCAAAAAAAAGTATATTAGTGTTCTAAAATAATTACACTGTGTATTAAACTTCATTTCAGGCAAATGGCATAAAAATTGGCCCTCAGCATGCTGCTACTAATGCAACACTTGCAGGCAATCAGGGAGGACAACAAGCTGGAGGAGGCTGCTGTTGAGCCTGTTTTTACTTTCTAGCTGCCTGGATGGGGTCTACTAACTTGTTTGTTCACCCTCCCCTGCCCCCTGCCCTGCTCGCCTCCACTTCAGTTCGACTGAGACATGAAACTTGTACGTTGGTTTCCTGTTGCAGAAGACTTTATCCTTCAAATTCTTGTATAACTTTGAATAAATGGTTAATGTTCACTTAAAGACAGATTTTGGAGATTGTATTCATATCTATTTACATTTGATTTCTAGGTCAATTGATGTGATTATTTTTGTTAAATGTTGTCTTGTGCCCTTGACTACGAACTGAATTGTATTAAACACTACAAAGTCATCTGAGTATTTTAATCAGTTTGTGTAGTTAGGTTTCCCAGCTCCTGCGGTTACCTAATGTTTAATATTGTAGAGCTGTCCTCAAGTTTTTTGTCAATTTTCAAGGCTATCAAGAGAAGCAGAAGGACTCTTTTAATTCTGTATTTATCACTTTCTGTATATATAGTTTAATAACCTGCTTGGGTGTACTTGCCAAGCTAGAATTCTTTAATGCATTTGCATAAATTCTATACTACTTAGAGCTTGAAAACTACAGAAGCATTAATAGAAATTGCTTGGACGCTAAATTTTAAGCCTTTTTGACATTGTTAGCATGTTCATCCTCCCCAGTCATTATCCTGAAGTCCAAGAGAAATGCTTAATGTATATTACTAGAGGCTACATACGTGCTATCTATTTTAATGCCAAATGTTTGCTGTTTGTCCACAATTTCCACAGCACCTCTTCAGAAATGGATTAGCTGTTTGCCTTAACAAATACTATAGGTAAAAACAGAGTATGAATGAAAAGTAGAGGAGGAGTTGATAAATTTAAAATGGCACATTATAAAAACTTTAATCTTTTTCTTAATGTTTTTTTTTTCTTGTTTACCACTTGATTTCTAGGTATATTTTTCATGCAAGGACAGTTTTTTCAACCTAAATGTACAGTGGTTGTGTAAAGTTTTCTTTTAGTGACAACTTGTAATCCTAAATATATGGTAAGCATCTTGTCTATTGTGAAGAGGGTGTGAAAATAAAATCTGCCAGTTTGGAAATCTTGATGAAAATCAAAACTAGAAATGCTTTGGTACTTATTATGGTGGTGGTTGGGGGCAAGGGCATGTTTTGCCTCAAATGAAAGGGTTGCAACAGTACAAACCAAAATCCTGTGTTCAAGTGTTTATTTGTTAAAGTATGGAATACTCATGTCACTTTTCCTACAAACAAGGAAGGCACCGAGTTTCCACCTCATCCTATTTATATAAATAGGTGACACTAATGTTAGGCCAAGGTTTATGTAACTAAAAAACAGGGGGAGGGGCGTGACTGCAAAACTTTTGTCTTACTGGACCAACACTGTCTGCGACACAACACGGGGGGACATGGGTCCTCTTGTCATCGATTCTTACTGTCAGAACTTTTAACATCAGAAGTGAATAAACTTCAGCCTGACAGGTGTAACACAGCAGTGGTTCTGAAATTAAATAGAGTTTAAAAAATGCATGGAAGCTTTTGTTTGTGTCTGGGGGAAGGGACAACTACTAGGGATTTGCGTTATTTGCCAACTTCAAATCTTTCTTACGCATTCAGGAGCATTATAAGCAATGCAATATAATTGTTTCAACTACTTAAATTCTTCAGAAGGTACTCCATGTACATACTTCCAGCTATTAACTGCTGATTATGTGATGTTTGCATTTATAAAACAAACACTTATTGTTTCAGTTGAAGTTTGAAAATTGTGTTGCATGACAGTAGAACCATAGGACTGAACTGCATCGATGCTGAGGGAAAACTGGCTTGTAGTAACCAGATGCTCACAAGAAGGAATAAACGAGCGAGATACTTAACTGCTTGAAGATTTTTTTTGGAACTGGCAACATTGCAGAACTTGACTGCTTGAGACAAGATGGGAGAAAAGTATGCTCTTCTATAGCAGTCTCAGCTACATTAAAAATGGGAGTAGATTTCTCTTGGCCATAAAAATTGCCTGTTAACGGGCAATTCGTACCCTGTCCTGAGAAGAACAAAAATGCATGCTCTTTAAGTGGTGAGGATTTATAAAGCTAAAGCTTCTGACAGCAACTCATTATCTGAAAGCATGGAAGATGTATAGAATTTGCCAGGTATCTAGGGCTATTGTAGCAAAGAGTCACCAGCACTTTCTTTGGGGGGTGCATGGCAGGAGGAATGTGCTGTGACTTACTGTAGTCACGTGTGTGTATTGATTTTTTTGATCCTGCTGGTTGGTCCTGGCTTACATGCCAGTCTTATACTGTGTATTATATAAAAATCTGGTACTTTCAAAGAGGAGCTTGAGCAAAACTGAAGTTTCTTTGCATTCTGCCTGTTGGATTTTTTTGTCACCAGCTTTGTGCATACGTAATCCATTTGTTGCCAATTAGAAATCTGTGTATTTTCGTGATTTTTTTTTTTTTTGAGAAGCCACTGATCTTATTTTATCCTATTAGAATTTGAAAATTATATAGTAAGGGTTTACTTCTGGAGCATGTGCTTTACAAGACTATTCTTTCACAGGTTTCAGTTTTACTTGTACATGAGTGACTGATAACTTGCCTAGCTTTCATGTTGAATTCCAGTTGCTTTTATTGGTTGCATTTTCATAACCAAGGAATTAAAGCACGGAATTATTCCCCAGCAACTTGTATAGCTGTTGTACATAATGTAAGACTATTGAAATGTAAGATACTGAAAAATCATACCACAGTGCAGTTTCCCTGTACTCACAGTTTAGCATATGGTATAAACCATAGTTAATGAGTAAATTGAGAGTGACAGATCCTCCAAGTGTGATTTTAAGACTTATCTCTCTTATTTCTACTTAAAATGAGAAGCTCTAGGAATTTTGGCAGTCATTTAAGAAAGATTAACACTCCCCCTCGATCTTATACTCATGTGTTTCTGTTGAATTCAATCATTCTGATTTATTCTTGTGCAATATCAGACTCAGTAATGACTTAAGGTAAATGACTGCCAAAACACTTACTGATAAGCTAAAATAAGGGGAGGCTTTCTGAAGCCCCTAGCAGGCGGTGAGCCCTCCATTCCCTGCTCCAGAGACATCTCCATTCTCCTATGTTACATTTTTTGTGATGCTTACTTCATTGTGTTGCTGACTGGTTAAAGAGCCTTCCACCACAATATTTATGTATAGGTGGGGTTAGAAGGACACAGGTTAGTTTTAGGCTAAATGGCATACATTTAAGTCGGGAAAGTTATTTCTGCCTTAAGAGTTTACCTGTGAGTGTCAGAGCACTAAATCTGTTCTTGGGAAGACAGGAACAACACTTACCAGGTTCTAAGTTACAATTAAACTGAATCCGAATGAAAAAATGTGCATTAAAAAAAACTTGGAAATATCATAAGACACTTTTTGGTATTAAAGGATTTTTTTAACATAATAATTCTACATGAGGGCACCCCAGTGTGCCTGCATTTTTCTGAAAAGTTGTTACCAGTGGGTAACAACTGGTACTTACTGGGGTGGTGGTTGGGGGTAGGGGGATGTTTTGCCTCAAATGAAAGGGTTGCAACAGTACAAACCAGAATCCTGTGTTTAAGTGTTTATTTGTTAAAAGTACAGAATACTCATGCAAATTTTCCTACACATTAGGGGTATTGCTTTTGTAAGTGCTGAAGCCTAGGATGGCAGTTCCTTCTGATGGACTCTTCTTTTGACATTACTGATTGTCCTACAGCTTTATTCTTAGGGGTTGTTGGTTGGTTGGTTTCTTCCCCCACACACACACACTTTAAATCGAGTTTCTCTTGTGTATTATCTCCTTTTTGTCTTGTCTGTTCTGGTTTTCTTTAATTCAGACTGAATCCAGTGAGCAAAATGCTGCTCTCCATCCATTACACCTCCGCTTAAGGGAATTTGCCCAATATGGGGCACTTGCTGTGGGGGCAGAAGGGTGGGGCAGAGGGAGAGAGGGATCTCCTATCTCACTGCATCATATAAATCATGAGGGAAGTTTTGCATGGGTTCTGTTACTTGTTACACGTACTATGGGTCCTGTTTTGCATGGCGGGGCAGGGGGGATATGATTTGCCTGTTCCACTACTGCATGGGAGGAGATAGGGGAGAAGGAGGAAGACTAGCAGATTTTATTTGACTATCTTAATAAATTGGTTTGCTGGTATCATATTTACAAGTTGTATATACTTAATGTTCCTCCACTTGGAATCTCTGGGTTTTCTTCTGCCAGTTCCATTACTGCAATGTAACTTTAACAGTATGCAGTGGTGATTTATTTTAATACGGTACGGAAATCTCCATTTGTAAATAATCCAGGCTGCTGCTGTGTAAGTAGCTGATGAAATGTCTTTACTGGGTCTGCTGCGTATGAAAGAAACCACAACATTAGGCAATAAAAACTACTAACAGAATGTTACAAAACCAAGACCATGACAAAAAAGCAGCATGTTGTGGATCTATCATTTTTATTCTTGGGACAGATTTTATTATTTTTGGAACTATTACAAGACTTATGTTAAATATCGTGGATGATAAGAGGAAACAGACTCTTGGCAAACATGGAAAACCAATTACAGCATATTACCCTATTCCCCTTCCAATAAAGGAGGGGCGAAGCTAGAAGTTTATTCTTTGTTTAGCAGCTGGAGGG